ATTTTTTCTTATTTCTTTTACTCAAAAACGATCATTTTCTTTATAAAATCAACTATAAAAATATAATTAAAATTGTACACTGGGAGCTCCCAAAATAAATATTTACATTCAAAAATAATAATACAGACGAACTTTAAAATATATTCACGACTCAACTTTACAATAGGGTTTATAAATATACATGCCCTTCAAAACGCTAAGACGTATTCTGATATGCTCTGGTCTGGACTTCGGTCTCTCTAGGTATCCTTTAATCTGATTAGAGGTGGCAATCGGGTCATTCGAATCGGGTTCAGGTCGGGTCATTTCGGGTTAGGATTGTATTCGGTTTAGGTTTGGGTCTTGTCGAGTTAGATCGGGTTCGGATTTAGTTCAGGTCTATGGAAATTTAATTTGGGTCGGGTATCGGGTCAGGTCAAAATCGGATCAGTTGGTTTTCTGGTCGAGTCAAAATCGCATCAATTGGTTTTCGAGTCGGGTTAATATCGGATCGGTTGATTTCGAGTCGAGTTAGTATCGGGTTGGCTGGTTTCGAGTCGGGTTAGTATCGGGTTGGTTGGTTTCGGTATGGGTCAACCTTTAGATTTTATGGTCATTTCGTGTTAATTTCGGTTTGTTTCAACCGTCATCACTCTTTGTCGTCATAGTCATCGATGTTGTTCTTCATTACTTGTAATTTAAGAATTTTATGAAACTATATTTTATCACATCCCAAGTCCGGGGCAAGAAGTTTAGTTTAAAATTTAAATGAATTTGAATCAATAAATCTTTAAAATCCAAATTGAAAATCAAATTATAATATTTGGAAGTATAAGAATAACTTTATAAATCCTAATAATTTTAGGATTGATTGTATATTAACTCTCTATAGTTTTTTTTACTTTTATTATAACTACTAGCATTTATCATATTTAAAAAAAATACATAATATATATATATATATATATATATATATATATATTAATTTATTTTTTATATTATTTTACTAAAACATATTACCTGTTCCCAATTCGCAACCCCAAATTAAAAAAATTACAAGCTCTAGAATTTTTTATATTATTTTAATTTAATTTTTTATATTATTTTATATATGCATTCTAACCCACCAAAAATTCCCCAAATTATTTTAATATAACTGAGTTTGACATGCAAGAATGATTGAGTGTCATTGATATGGTGTCGGTATTTGATTTAGTTTGTATTTTTATATCAGTTTTGAATGAGAATTTTTTATTTGACACTTATGTTCAAAATTTATTTTAAAATAAAGTTAATTATAGTCAACTGTCTAAATAATGTGAATTAAAGTTATCACATATTAGAATTTTTTTTTGAATACTTTTATTTTATAATATTTCATATCAAATAATGTTTTGAAATGATTTAGAATTTATCGGATATAGAGATGATATTTTAACTGAGGAAATATTTTATTAAACTATTAAACTATTACTAAAGGTGGTGATTAACTAGTTGTATATTATAAAATGTGTATAAAATATATCATTCTACTATTTATCTAATTAATAAAAATAATAATAATAATAACAAATAAATTATTCATTCACTTAGACTCGGTTATCGGATTAAAATTGGGTCAAAGTTCGGTTTGGATCGGATACGGGTAAAATAAATTCGGGTTGATTTCAGTTCGGGTTATTTTCGGTTAGGGTTATTTTTTCGGTTTTCGGGGTTCGGTTCGGATGACTTCGGTTCTGGTTACTTTCGATTTGGGTTATTTCGGTTCAATTATAATTCGGGTCGGTTAAGGTTCGATTCATTTCGGTTTTGAATCAATTTTGGGGTATTATTATATCGGGTTATCGAGTAAATCGGTTCAGGTAATCGGGTCAAATTTGACAGGTCTAAACCTGTACTCTGAAACATTCGAAAGATGAGCTAACTAGCTCAGTGTCACTAACAATTAGATCATACTAACTGTATATCATTAAAAGGCTCAAGCTATCAAGTCCGTTGCTCTACTTTAGTGAGTATACTTGTATACTCACCCTCTACTCTATGGTGACATCATGTTGTGGTTGAGGGTTATGCATCTCAGAGCTTACACACCCCTCTAGTCTACCGAGAATGTGGCCCCCAGAATCTTTGCATCGGACACCACACTCTCGACTAGCTCACTCTTTGAGTGTCAGACATTGCGCCCAAATTAGTCAGCTTTAAGTGCCTCGCGCACTTCCTAAGGATATATCCAGATGAATCTATACTTTCGACATTGCTAGCTTTTCTAAAGGAACTCAAGTGTCATGATCATTTCCCGAGCATTCAAACAAGACTAGTCTTATTTTACCCTACTTATCTCTTCCTACGTTTGAAATAAACATTATTATTGTTCTCACTTGTAGTCTTATTTAGGAGTAATTATAAGCTTTTGGGAAACCTCACTTGCTTCTATAATGCTTCTTGAATTAATGCTCATTTCTTAACCTTGGTATTATCGATACCCTCTCCTCAATATCGATACTGCTTCATGCAGTATCGATACCAACCCTTAAAAATGCCTTATTTAGACCCGAATTTGCCTCCCAATCTCCTAAATTTCTCTACTTTAAGGTTTCCCAATATGTTATTAAGTCTTATTTAATCTTAGGGGGTCATAAATAAGGCTTAAAACATGCTAAAATAACATTAATAAGAATCTACCATGGAAATCTACTGAACATGCTTAAATCTTAACTTTCTAGCTAAAACTCTGTTCTAATGATCTACAACTGGCATGAGGAAGCTGTGAGTGTGTCACATGGCCTCCTTGATTGTTAAAACTTCTCTCAATTCAACTAGAAATCACCTTTCCTTCATCTCTAGCCTTGAAACTCTCTTCCACCTTTTTCTCTAATTTAAAGAAACAAAAGAGTTACTAATATCTAGGAGTTTGGTTTAAGGTAAAAACACTTCCTATAACTGAATCTACCCAAAATAACTTGATTTTCTTAAAACTCCCAAAAACCCATTTTCTAAAATCTTACCGAAAACCTAATATTAGGGGCTTAAATTGAAGCTTGAGGGAAAGATGTTAAGACTCTTACCTTGGTTTCTTCAATCTAGGCTTGGGATTCCTTAAAGCTATTACCTTTGGCTTGCTCTTGGGAGGAAAAGATGAGAGAAAATGAAGAGGGAAATGAGAAGATATTTTTTGGTCCGGAAGGTTCACGTAAAATCCATTTAAATAATGGGGTTTTAAACCTTTGAAACCACTTATGGGTAAACTACACTTTTAGTCCTCAAACTTTTATCCTAAATTAAAATACCTTAACTCTTGGGCCAACTTAGGCCCAATTACTATTATAAACTGGTCCAAACTGACTTGGGAGATCTAATGGGCTTAACTTACGGGTTTTAGGTTGACCTAAACTACTTACCCGTAATTCGGGGTATTACATTAATCATTTGTTGACTATTTTTCATCAACAGAGAAGTTTTTTTGCCCAAAAAGTTTTAAAAAGAATAAAGACCAAAATGAATATATAAACAAATATTATGGGCTTTTTTTGTCATTATACAATGAGAAAAAGACAGTTTAACCCATTTGGTTCTTTCTCCAGCAGGTTGGTGGAGTGGAGACAAACCCCTTTCCGGCTCAATCACTTCCCACATTGGTTCAACCGGGCCATTTCTTAATTTTCAATTTTTTTGCTCTCAATGATATGCATGGCCACTTAAACAAAAGGCAAGTTCAAACTAATCATTGTGTATATAATATATGGTTGCGTGGCCATCCATATAAGCTTCCCACTTTAATACCTTTTCCTGTTGTATTCTTTGAAGATTTTTTTTATTTTAACTATTTTGTAGACAATATCATTCACATATAAACCTCACTAAATACATTTTACACCGTATATCTATATGATAAGATTTTAGAAGATTAAACATTTATAAAAAGAATTATTTGTAAGAAAATATATCAATCTTATATTACATGTGATATCTCGTAACTATCATAATCTTTTTTGGATAAAATTAAAGTACGAGTTATTATTTTATATCTCTTGCCCTTTGATTATCTCCTCGGTTGTAATTTATTCAATGACTCTCACCTCATATAGGAATTATACTTTTGTCATCTCATATATGTTTAATGTTTTATTTGTGTTTGAAATTTTAATACATTTAAATTTAACAAGTGGACTCAGTGATAAAAAAGAATGTTATTCTATGCAGAGGTCTTGAACTCGAACAACTATATATGCAGTGTATACGTTGTCAATTGATCAAGAAAATTCTGAATATACACTACCTTATAATCACTAATACCATTAGGAGCAACAAAAATCCCCTTCTCCCTCCCTCCCCTAGATAGTAATTATTTCAAAAGAAAATATATTATTATAAAATATAAAGAGATCTATTTAAAAAACTATAACGAAATAAAAATCTAAAAGGAAATAAAAATTGCTAAAACCAAATATAATTCATACACTACCATATAAATAGAATTGTTGGAACTTAAAACACATAAAAATTAGCTGACCCTATTCCCATGTGTAATGGAGTAAGGGGAAGGTAGTATAGTAGGCTGCCCCCAACGTCAGGTTGAATTCCGTGGGAGACCTCCGGCAGTCAGAATTATGAATTGTCCACCGTAAAACTCGATCCCACAACCACAAGGTTAAGAGCCTTGCGCTCTACCAACTGAGCTGAACGGGCACATAAGATTAATGGGGTTCATATCATAAGAAGGAAATATCAATTTTTCCACTAAAATTAGTGGGGTTCATATCATAATAATAAATTTTAATTATTCATTCTCGGTAAAAACACAGACAAAGACATACAGGCAGACGGCGACAGAGATTGAATGAAACAATAAGCAGACTTTAGAACGACCATTAAATTATAAAACTGATAAAACAATATTTTTCATGAGTAAAAAAAAGAGACTACTTGAATTGAAGAAAACATTTTTTTAACTCTTAATCTTGCAGATTAAGGAATCTGCCTATAACATGACTTTCGCCACAATTTCTTCTCCTTTTCCATCTCTCTTTCCATTTTAGCTTCAATTTAGAATCACAGAGACAGAGGCAGAAGTGTCCCAACTGAATGAAACAGCTGTTCGTCTTCCCTAGGTTCATCTCTTCACTTGTTTTGTTCTTTTTCTAACATATGTGTGTGTATATATATATATATATATGTTTTACGGTAATTTTTAAGGCTTGATAGTATTAAAGGATGTAATCATGTGGTGGGGCGTGGGGGAACTTCAATGATTAGACAAAATCATGCGTTGTTTCCTTAGTCAACAGTTTCCACTTTAGATTTTTGAAATTCTAAATGTTTTGCAACAGTATCTTCCAATGATAAAATCATACTTATATTAGCTGTATTTTAATTGTACCTTTTTTTTTTTGTTCAGGCTTCTTAGGCAAATCAATTAATTAGCCTTCTCTTGGATAAGGAAGTTCCAAAGGAGTGTTCTACTCTGTTGGAATGACTTTAAGTTGAAGGCATGAGCCACTTTCTTACATTGATTTGTTAATTTGTTTAGCAAAACAATAAAAATTTGCTATCATATATTTCGCATTTCTTGTTGATGCATTGGATTTCTGGTTTTATCCGAAAGCTCCGACGAATTTATCTGCTTTTATAGATTTAGAGTCTGGGGTTTAGAGGTAGGATTCCGATTTGAAGAGCATTGAGTATACTACATTTCAAGTTTGGAGTTGCTTGAGTTTATTTCTTTGGTTTTGTATTGATTGATGTCTCTCTTGTGGTCTAAAGGGCTAATATCTTATTCCGGTGAACTCTCCGATGAGCGTTTGGTATGCTGCATTCATGGATGTTTAGTTCATAGATTGTTGTCATAGGATGATAAGGTTTTCATGTTTGGAATTTACCAGACGTCATGTCGTTGATATTTTATTGCAGTATATGTTTCATTTTTCTCGGATTATCTGCTTTGTTCCGACTTCATCTTCACTAGCAGCAGTCTACTTATCCGCGTAATGGGTGGCTGTGTCTCGGTACATAGTGAGAAGGTACGATCTAGGTCGCACAAAAGACGCTTCGGCGGATTCCGCAAGCGCCATGGAAAGATCGTCTCTTCAGTTCCCAATGTACGTGTGAAAAGGACGAGTGATGCCGGGAGTCATATGGCAGATTTTGCTGTTAGTGAATATGTTCATCTCGACTTCGAGAAGGGTGCTTCAACCACCTGCAACTGCAAGCACGCGGAGATGTCTAACATGTCATTCCATCTGACGCAGCTACAATGGAACCACAATCAAATGGATGCCAATGGTCTCTTCTACTCATCTATTGTCATTACTTATTTGCATTAAGCAAAATCTAGGAGATTGCTATTCGTTCACGGTGTTGAAGCAACCGTGTTTTTTTCGGACAATTCATAACTGTAGAAACAAAATTAATTTTCAGGAAGATGCCAAGAGGAAGTATGGTTCGATTCTGTTAGCATTATCGAGTCCGAGTCAGATGATGATTCCGGAAGTGTATACGGAGGTAATGCAGATGGCATCTTATTGCTACCAACTGATTGTTTATTTAGACTGTGATTTGTGATTTTCGGTTGGTTGGAAAAGCTTACACTATTCTTTTGGTATCCCTTTTGCTGTTTCCTGCAGATGCATTTTCTTCATTAGCGAATATCTCAAATGCACAAGTGCTTCAGTACGAAAGTTCATGCTTCGTTGAAAATGGCTCCACCTATTCAGGAGAGAAAACTCAAGAGAGCCAAAAGAAATCGACGGTTATAATGGTTTCCGCAAAGACGAAATCTTTCGTAGGTAACGGAATCACAAAACGATCTTGTTTGAACATTATGATAAGAAAATGACACCTTAGTTGTGTAGAACTAAAAGGGTTAATAACAGGTGCAGCTGAGAGATACATATACCGTCCGAGAGCTGGACTTATAATTCCTTGCTCACGAGGGAAACCGACTGAAGGAAGCTGGTCAGAGATTTCACCTTCACTTTTTAAGCTCCGAGGAAAGAATTACTTCCGGTAAGCCACTTCACTGTTATTCACATTCTGCAATACATCATATCCTTCATACATAGAACTGAAGTTGTGCCTTGTCATGCAGAGATAAACAGAAGTTACCTGCTACAGATTGTTGTCCATATGTACCAATCGGTGTCGGTTTATTCATCTGCCCTCGGAAAGTGAATCACATCGCTCAGCACCTCGAACTACCACATGTAAAACCGCACGAAAAAGTGGCTGCCCTGCTAATTGTTAATATACAGGTTCCGACTTATCCGGCAAGCATGTTTCTTGGTGATGCAAATGGGGAAGGCTTGAGCCTTGTCTTATATTTTAAGGTCTCGGATACTTTTGACAAAGATATATCCCCTCACTTCCAGGACAACATAAAGGTATTCCCCTCACTGACATATGATTCTCCAAGAACTCTTTAAGCACGTAAATATCTGTGTCGGATATCGAACAATCACACTTGAATCCGCATAACATAGAATTAGATCTATTCTTTGCACCTCGGAAAATATTGAGTTGTGCTTTGTTACAGAAATTTATTGAAGATGAAATCGATAAAGTTAAAGGGTTTGCAAAAGAGTCCACTGTTCCTTTCAGAGAGAGGCTGAAGATTTTGACCGGTTTAGTTAACGCAGACGAGCTTCAGTTAGGTAGTACTGAAAAGAAGCTTGTTCAAGCCTATAATGATAAGCCAGTTCTTTCACGCCCCCAACATAATTTCTATAAGGTAAATTTACAGCTTTTCCTATTGATGTTTTAGCAGTCAAAGCAGCTCTGCTGGTTTCACATGCATGCATTCAAATGATTCTTAGTTGTTACGAGTTTTCATTTTTCTTGAAGTGTTTGTGTCCGTTACAACGTAACCGACCTTTCAGCTAATGTCTCCAGGGACCAAATTACTTCGAGATCGACCTCGACATACACAGATTTAGCTACATATCTAGGAAAGGGCTTGAAGCATTTCTAGACCGCATGAAAAATGGTATCATTAATCTGGGTTTGACTATTCAGGTTAGTTCTATTTTAAAACAATTGGGATTCCGGATAGGACGAAATTGACTTGGAGGGGAAAGTGTGAAGAAATTCGTAACATTTTGTGGTCTCTGGTTTTGATAACGTTTGCAGGCACAAAAACCAGAGGAATTACCAGAGCAAGTCTTGTGCTGTTTGCGGTTGAATAAGATAGATTTTGTAAATCATGGCCTAATTCCTACCATTGTCACTGTCAAAGATGATTAAAATGCAAGATTTCAAAACAACAATTCAACAAACAAATCAGTGTATCATTCATTTATTTTGATATTCTACCTTGTAAATTGTTTTTGACCATCCACACTAGCAGTCCCAGCCAGGGTCCGCTATATGGCGGTAACAGCATCTTCCGCAATGCAACCAAAAATACGGTCGCAACTGCAATTTAAATTCCCGGTCCCAATACATTGACAATTTTTTAGATTTAGTCCATGTATTTAAAACTTTTAAGAATAATGTCTTTTTCTTAATCTAAAAATCTCAGTTCAAATATTAATACTAGTTTTATTTCTAAGTTCGTCAATTTAGCATGTTAATTAGGGTGTCATCATACGATTCAGCAAATGATGCACAGAAATGAACATTTCAAAATAATGAACGAATTTCATTATCAAACTAAATAACTAAATAACTAAAAAAAAATGCACTAATTAGCAGAACGCATTCTTCATTTGAAAGCTCAGTAAAAGGAAATGAACATCACCGTATTAAGGAGGGTCAGGGTGAGGGCAATGAGAAATGGGAATTCATTTGGGGCCGATGTCCTTGAGAGCACAGATCTGCTCTTCACCCATTGATGACATCACCGTCACAATTAGATCCTTCCCCTCACCAAATCCACTCTTTATCTTCATTCACCAATCATCACACTGTTATTAGTTTGTTCCAATATATGTTGTACGAAATAAGATTCATTTAACACACAGACTAACCAGTGTAAGCAGAGCTTCTTCTGTTGGAAGACGAAGATCATCCTTAGTGTTACCACTTTAAGTCAGCAAACTCACCTAAATCATTATGGTCAGAACAAGCCACGCAATTTAAAAAACGAAAATCAAACAAAAAGTTGGTTTTACAAATCCATCTTCCGAGATATCAATCAGCTGGTAATCAGTACGACTGACACGAGGAACCTGTAAAATGGAACCAACAACATCAACATTAGCCTCCGAAACCCTAAGACATAAAGCATAGATCCAGTGACCCAAGGAGAAGACCCACGTCGCAGTTGTGAGACGAAGGAACGATATCTTCAATCTTTTTGCCACTGAAGATATCAATTCCGACAAAATGACATTTCGCGTGCCCATGCTTTCCGGTCTTCGAAGTCGAAACTTCCACAACCTATAGAAATTCAAAAAAGAGAAAGCGTGTCAAAGATTCTTCGAATCAAGAATTTCTCAATCAATAATTGAACTTGCTCGCCAAAAAAAATCGGAGATCAAAGAATTTTGAGTTAGAGAGAGAGCAGAAACAAATGCAATGAACAAAAAGGAAATTAAAAAAAGAAGAAGAAAGATTTGAGGATCAGAATGGAGACCTTGCAAGGACGGCCTTTGATCACGATGTAACCATTCTTACGGATAGTGCCGGCCTGCTGAGGAAAAGTTTTAGAAGCTCCGGCATCAGCTTTCGATTCGAAATGGTGATCCTCGTCAGACATGACAATCAAAGCTTAAACAGATTAACAAGTTTGGAGAACTGGATCAAAGAAAGGGAGAGTGAGTGAGTAGCTGATACTCAGCTCGAGATGTTTACACGTGGGCTGCTTTGGAGCCAGTATCAAGCCGAATTGCATTGTTTAGCATTCACTATTCTCTTGATGATTCTTCTCTCACTCCTTATATTATACGTTAGTTATGGATGTAGTCTCTATAAACTAATTTTATTTTTTTAGTTTTGTATAATTTTTAAAAAAATTTAAATTTCTTTCCACTCTAAACAATAGTGAATAGTTGTGAAATTTCTTAAGTTAAGATTTACAATTACTCTATGTTAAGTCAAAGTTGTAGATTTAATTATAATTTGATAATTTAAAATTATTTGATTAATTATTTATTAATGTATAATATATTTGTTTACATTAGTTCAATACTTTAAAAGATCAAATTAGAATATAAGAATTAAATCCATAACTTATATATTGTATAGGGACCGATAAATTTTCGGAACCTTTTATCATTTTAAAAAATTTATTTTATTTAACTAACTCAATTGAAAAAGCCTGAAATCTGATAAATATGGGATTGTCTCAGGAAAGGCGGGTTAATATACAGTTAATATACGGCAGTACCGGATACATTAAAATGTATTTAATAAATTCGGTTTAGCAGTACCTATTATGTTGACAACTAATAATGTTTTAGGTAGAAAATATGAAAAACTATTAAAAAATTTGGTAACCGGTAAACTTTAGTTATCGGTAAGTATCTATCCTTTTTATAAAAGTGTCCATACTTTTAACATATCAAGTAAATTTTATCGGTTTTGTCATAATGAATCTGGTTTTGTCATATTTTTACCTGTTATATTGTAAAGTATCTATCCTTTTTATAAAAGTGTCCATACTTATTTCACTGTGAAAATATATTATTATTATCTTTGGTTAATATTGTTAAATTTAAATTCTAAATAATATTTTATAAAATATCAAAACAATCAAATAATTTTGTGTGTAAATGAAATTATTAAATTAATATTATAGGTGAAAACATGAAACACTATTAAAAAAAATTGAAACATAAATTACATAACTTTAAAAAAAGTATATATCATTTTTATAAAAGTGTCCATACTTATTTCACTGTGGAAAACATATTTATTATTATCTTTGGTTAATATTGTTAAATTTAAATTCTAAATAATATTTTATAAAATATCAAAACAATCAAATAATTTTTTGTGTAAATGAAATTATTAAATTAATATTGTAGGTGGAAAACATGAAACACTATTAAAAAAAATTGAAACATAAATTACATAACTTTAAAAAAAGTATATATTATTTTTATAAAAGTGTCCATACTTATTTCACTGTGGAAAACATATTTATTATTATCTTTGGTTAATATTGTTAAATTGAAATTCTAAATAATATTTTATAAAATATCAAATAATCAAATAATTTTTTGTGTAAATGAAATTATTAAATTAATATTGTAGGTGGAAAACATGAAACACTATTAAAAAAATTGAAACATAAATTACATAACTTTAAAAAAAGTATATATCATTTTTATAAAAGTGTCCATACGTATAAAAGTAGGTCTAAGTCATGAAGAAATATTAAAACGGTATACCAGGTAAAAATATGATAAAACCGGTAACAAAATGATAAAACCGGTAAAACGTTGCCAGATATATTGAAAGTGTCGATACTTTATATAAGGATCGACACTTTATGAATTTAAAAGAGAAGCAGTTTTAGCGCTTATAATGTGTCGATACTTTAAAAAAATATATCGATCCACAACAACATAACAGGTAAAAATATGATAAAACCGGTATCAAAATGATAAAACCGGTAAAATGATACCGGATATATTGAAAGTATCGATACTTTCGTAAGTACGTGTAATAAATTATCGACACTTTCAAAGAAATAGGTAATTATCCTTTCGAAAGTATCGACACCTGACATAAAAGTATCGACACTTTTGTATTTGTATCGATTAAATATAAATAACATATCCGATCAAAATATAATTTAGTAAAAGTGTCCATACTTTTTTCATTGTGGAAAACATTAATTTAAGGTTATCTTTTGAGTGAGTTTTAAGATATTAATTTAGTAATTATAGGCGTCTAATGATTTATTTTTTACGTTACGATATATATTATTATTAAATTAAAAACAATAAACATATATATTACATATTTATTATTATCTTTGGTTAATATTGTTAAATTTAAATTCTAAATATTATTTTATAAAATATCAAAACAATCAAATAATTTTGTGTGTAAATGAAATTATTAAATTAATATTGTAGGTGGAAAACATGAAACACTATTAAAAAAAATTGAAACATAAATTACATAACTTTAAAAAAAGTATTGATCCTTTTTATAAAAAGTATGGACACTTTCAATATAATATGTAAAAATATGATGTAATAGGTAGCGCTTATATAATGTAATAGGTATCGTTTATATAATGTAATAGGTAGTTGTAAAGTATCTATCCTTTTTATAAAAGTGTCCATACTTTTTTCACTGTAGAAAACAATAATTTAAGGTTATCTTTTGAGTGAGTTTTAAAATATTAATTTATTAATTATAGGCGTCTAATGATTTATTTTTTACGTTACGATATATATTATTATTAAATTAAAAACAATAAACATATATATTACATATTTATTATTATCTTTGGTTAATATTGTTAAATTTAAATTCTAAATATTATTTTATAAAATATCAAAACAATCAAATAATTTTTTGTGTAAATGAAATTATTAAATTAATATTGTAGGTGGAAAATATGAAACACTATTAAAAAAATTGAAACATAAATTACATAACTTTAAAAAAAGTATCGATCCTTTTTATAAAAAGTATGAACACTTTCAATATAATAGGTAAAAATATGATGTAATAGATAGCGTTTATATAATGTAATAGGTATCGTTTATATAATGTAATAGGTAGTTGTAAAGTATCTATCATTTTTATAAAAGTGTCCATACTTTTTTCACTGTGGAAAACATTAATTTAAGGTTATCTTTTGAGTGAGTTTTAAGATATTAATTTAGTAATTATATGCGTCTAATGATTTATTTTTTACGTTACGATATATATTATTATTAAATTAAAAACAATAAACATATATATTACATATTTATTATTATCTTTGGTTAATATTGTTAAATTTAAATTCTAAATATTATTTTATAAAATATCAAAACAATCAAATAATTTTTTGTACAAATGAAATTATTAAATTAATATTGTAGGTGGAAAACATGAAACATTATTAAAAAAAATTGAAACATAAATTACATAACTTTAAAAAAATTATCGACCCTTTTTATAAAAAGTATGGACACTTTCAACATATTATAATGTAATAGGTAAATTTGCAATTCTATCGGTATAAATATACCGGTTTACTTATAAAATAGGTAAATATAAGCCTACCTATTACATTATATAAGCGCTACCTAGTATGTTATTGTACTTTATAATATTTCCGGTTAAATAATATAACATAACCGGTCTAAATTTTAATCGATCACTTATTTAACCG